GCTTTGTTTTATAATGAATATTCCCAAGAGTCGTATTTTTGTTTTTATTGCTGAGTGAGTATATATGTAGAAAAATTGGTAAGTCTTTTTTTTTCTGAAAAGCCTTTTGAAAATCAACATACTGTTTCCTTTATTTCTACTTACGGGATTCAAATTCTTTTATAGAAAGGAGTTTCTCTGACTCAGTCCTTTCCGGGTGTGTTTTCTGGTAATGGTGCAAAAAAAGGAGGAAGGAGGGAGAGAAAATGACTTGTTGAGAAAAAAAGTCCAAAATATTTCTTCGGCTATTTGCAATTGTCACTTGTAACAATCATCTTGCCCAGTAAAGACTGCAGAGGAAGGGATGAACAGGTTTACTTGTCATGACCTCCTACAGTATATAAGCCATTAAGAGACACAGAGCTCATGCTGGAATTTGCACACACATATATAGAAAGAGTAGATTCAAAAACTCTCCCTTGTTTTAGTTGCAAATTTGCAGGGGGAGGGGGGGACAGCTAAGAGTAGCAAGCAGTCAGAAGGCAGACTTTGCTTTGAGGAAAGTGAATAATCTCAGTGTTGACAGAGTTCAAAAGCAACACTCCAGCATTGGCCTAAGGCCACTCCTTTGTAATTTTGGCCATTAAATGTGAGTTTGCAGGTGGCCCAACAGCTGAGATTTGGAGACTTTAGTTTGCATATTTAAATAGTTTTCATATTCCATGTAGGGCCCCCTCCCATTCCCTGCAAGCTATAAAAGCCCAAATTTATTCCAATGACTTTTCATCATTAAACATCTAATTTTGCTTATGGATCACCAGTAGGCTGTGCTTTAATTTGAAAAAGGGGAAGGGAGAAAGAGAAAAGAAAGGAGCAAAGGAGAAGGGAATCAGTCAGACAACCCTGCCTGCAGGCCTTCAGCATCTTTTCTCTATACTGTACCTGGATTTTTCTTGTGAGATAAGCAATTCTCAGACATATAGATTTTCTTCATAGGCCATGGTTTACGGAGTTTATTTTTTTTTAATGCACACTGGAGAAGTGCAATAGCATACAATATGGTCACTTAGAAACATGCAAGCAAGCAAATTCTCCCTGTGAACAAATTCTGAGGCATGCTTCTCACCAATCCAAGACTTATATAGGAAGAACTGTCCAGGTATTTTGATGCCGATGGAGTATTTCAATTCTCTGTGCTCCCTCTTACCTCTCTTCTACTAAGCTGCTATCCTTGCTTGGTAAAATAGACTAAGATATGCCCATTCATGCAGTTATCTCGAAACCAAGGAAGAAGGTACCTATTCAAGGCATATTTTAATATAATACTTTTTTTACACTGAATTAAGCTTTTCTGAACTGTTTGCTTTTAAGCAAATTTCAGTGGGTTAAAGCCAAACTGGGTCACCCCATGGGAACACATCCATTAATCCTAAAACAAATTAAGAATGTATTAGCTAATTTAGACCCCATTGGTGTCAGTGGGTCTACTCTAGATACAGAATGTTCCAATTGTTTCATCTTTGTTAAGCCACTCTGATATGGGATGTGACCCATTAATGGAAGTATAGTACTCAGCAGGTTTTACTATATGTCTGAAATGTAAAGAAAAGGAAAATCTTCAAGTTATATAAAATACGACCAATGTAGCAGTTAAAATCATCTAGCAAATAGTATAAAGGTCTCTGGGTTTTTTTTCTTCTCCTTTTGCTTCTTTCTCTAAGTATAAAGCAGTTCTTCTAGAATTAAACCCTTTCACTTGCTAGACCATTATTTTTAGTGATCTAATCAGACTGCGCTTCATATCTACCTTTTATTCTATTTTCTCAAATCTTCTCTATGTTCTGTTTTAAAACCAAGCTATGATGTCTCAGCTGGCCATGACAGGTTGTCACAAAGGTCATTTCAACTAGTGAAAATAGTTATCTTTACCTTTGGGAACATCTTTCTCAATAACTTATGTATTATAAGTGATGCAAAAAACAGCCCAGATCCCAAGCAACTAGATTTGTAGAGAAACCACAGCAGGCTCAAAATTTCAACTTCATGACTAAAGCAAGTACTCTCAAACCCAGATTCATGTTTTATGGAATCCTGTAAGAGGGAGGGCAATAGGAGGCAACTTGGCAGATAGGAAAGACAGAGGCTGTTTCAAGATGCAACATTTTAAAATATTCTTAAGTAATGTATTATTCAGAGGTTCAGCAAAGAACTATCAATGGTTATAAGCAAGAAGTTAGGAAATAAATTTTGCAGAGATCTGTTATTGACAGAGTTATTTTCTTCTTTCCTATCCATTTAGACAAAGCAAGGCAAAACAAATATTTCAGACCAGCTCACCTGTTTGGCAAGAATCCTTGCTGTGAGTCTGACTGTCTCAGAGGGATTCCAGTTCTGTCCAAATACGCACATGGCAGAACACTCCAATTTGTGCAATGGCCAATCCTGTTTCTAGAGAATTAAACATACAACCTGAAAATGCATGAAATTTGTTTTCCTCACAATGAAAAGATAGCACTGGAAAAAAAATTAAACTTAAAGGTAAAGATATCCTCTTTTCTGACATAAAATTCATATGTATTGGTAAGATTTGTAATAGTTAAAAGAACATAGAGTCTGTGTTCAGTAAGATAATTGAAAGAACAGATCTAAATTAGTGGGCAATGTCATTGACCAAATTAACCTACTTCTTCCATTACCATGAGTAGAAACCGAGTTATGATCACCATTGCTGGTTCTATGAAATGCATGTGTTTGCTACAAATTACACAACAAAGAACTGAAGCAAATCTTGGATGATCTCTTAAAATCCTATTCTCCAGAAACTATTTTTCAGTGATCTCCACTTATCTTTGCCAAAGAAGTAATCATCAGAGATTAAAGCTAAAAAATCCCTATTTGAATCTGCTGAATATGTGTATGTGTGCTTATACATGTGAGAGAAAACACTATTGAGGAGTTGCTGACTTTTATGAGGTAGAAAATAATATTCACACAATTAATCAGCAGCCTCATTTTACTAGCACACATAGGCGTAGAAAATGCACAGTTAAGACAGATGCAAAATTGACAATGCCAATATGTCCTTCCAACATCCCCTTCTGACCCCTTTATTCTTTAAGCATAGTTAATTAAATTTTTTCCTCAGGCTGAATCCAACTGAGTTATATGAACTAGTAAGGTGGTTAAAGGGACAAGATACAGATGAATTGTGCAAAACAAGATAAAAGGCAGGAACATTGCAGGAATATGGGAGCAGTGTCTGCATAATATCTGGCACGGAAGCATTCTGACAGAGATCTTTTTAGTGATCACAGCAGGATCACATTTAACATTCTTTTCCACCATTCCTCTAAGCCATTTGATTGATAGCAGGCAGCGTTGTTCTAGCCAACTCTCTAATGCTGTAACGATACTCCAGATTCAAGAGGGGGGGGGAAACAGGGCAGCCAATATTTCTCTCTGATTTAAGGATTATAATCAGAACACTTCTGGAAAGGACATCTGCCTTTTAAAAATGGAAGGGGAGACATGGATTTCAGAATAACTCCCATCTGCTAAGGATGTATTGAACAGAACTTTATGGGATGTTATTCTCTCTCACACACACACAAAATCAAGTTCTCCAAAACTAAAATGTGGCTATGTCCATATCTCCTTTCAAAGTCTCCTATGCATTTTAGATTACTCAGAGGCATCAAGACCAAAAGAAAAGTCACCAAAAGCTAAAATAAATATGTATAAAAATTTAGGAGAGAGAATTAAAAAACCTCTCATTGTGAACATCACCAGTCTAGGTCACTTTGGTGATACGGTCAACGTTGGAAGTGGTGAGTGAAGGCAGCAAGGGCCTGGATGGAGAGAACCAAGCTAAAGTTGAACCCAAGAGAGATGGTTGCTCTTTACTCATTGAGGTCTAATAGAGTGAACATGGGACAAATAACAATGCATATAGCCGAAATGCACTTTAGAATTTATTTATTTTCACTTTTTTGAACCATCCATCTCCCTCAGAGAGGGACTCCGGGCAGTGTACAATAAAATGCTGAAACATAAAAGTAGATAAAAGTTAAATATTTAGATGGAGGCAAGAATGATTAAACACTGTTTAATTTAATTAAAAGGTGAAGGAAGGGCTTTCAGTGCACTAGCCAGCTTTCCTGGGCTCTCCATGCAAGGCCGCAGAGCCATGTTATGACTCTTTTTCAAAAGGCCAGCAGAGTGGAGGCCTGCTTCACCTCTGGGGGAGAAGATTCCAAAGGGTGGGGGAAGTGGCAGAGAAGACTCTCTTTCTGGACTCCAGTCGGAGTTCTTTAGCTGACAGGGTCTGCAGCATACCTTCCCTGCATGACTAATGGAACAAAAACAAGAATACTTATTTTCAGTACTGTTAATCAGTTTCTGAAATGGAAACATAACAGGGAGAAGTAGATCTAAAATTCTTTGACTTGAACTATATTACTTATAAGGTTATAAGTATATAACTTATAAGATTTGGCAAATCATCTGGACTTGATTGGGATACTGGCTATTTTGGAAAGACTAGCTATCTTAAATTATATACAGTCAGGTGGGTTTTCCTTCAGGAAAAAGGAATTTCAGCAGAACAGGAGATTCCCCAGAAGTACTTAATTTATATTCAGTACTGTAGTACAATCAACACCATTGTGAAACCAGTTAAGCTATAAAAAATTGCCATGCCAAAAAGTAACATTTCTTTTTTACTTGAACAAGTACTCAAGGCTGCTAGCAAGATTCAAAAAGAAAAGACAATCCAAAAACTATGCACATCATAGTTAATGTTAAATTTAATTGATAGCTTTAAATTAAAATTCTGGTGAAAGAGACACTTTTAAACATATTTTTTTATCTTCTAGTGATGGAATGTAGTCCATAGCTTAAAAGCAATGCATATAGCCTGAGGTACTAGTTACCATCCGTGGAGCAAGACGGTCTTGCAATGGCCTAGAATTATCCTCTCTACACACAAGTGAAGACCAATCAACAGCATCATCTGAACAAGATGAAAATATGACTTTAAGATAGCTGTATAAATTAGAAATGCAGTTGCAAACAAATTTAATCTGCAGGCCCTTTCCTTTGAATTGCAAGGGACAAGACTAGTGACATCATATCATCACCAAGTTTGACAAGATTGAATTCCCAGGCTCAATTTCATCTATTTCTACAACTGGGAATAAAAAGGATGTTAATCCTAAAAACAGAAAAAAAATACTCATGGTGCTTTTTTAATAGATGCCAGCTCTGTTTCTACTAAGACTCAGATACAAGAAAAGCACAATGTTTTGCTTCATAATTATTCACTGGGCTCATAACCATTAAACATAAATTAACTAACTCCAAGCCATAACCTTATAAACTAATCTTTCTTAAAACCAGATATAGCTCTTATTTATATTATACCTTTGTCTATATTCTGAGCTCATGCAACGTCCATTATATCTGAAGGAAGGCCATTATGAAATTATTATATGATTGCACCTTAAAGATTCATATAAATGTTAATCCGCCTTCAACTTTTAACTGTCCAAAAATCCTGGTGGAAGAAGAATCTACCTTCTTGGAAGATGTGGTGACAGCCAGAGTGCTACACCAGAAGCAAGATAATTAATCATCCACATTACTATTGAAGATTCAGCCAGATTCCTCAGAACTACTTAATTTATTCAGAATAATTACAAGCTGAGTAGAAATCCAAGTAATAATACATATACAAAAAGCAATCTATTGAAAAGTCATAGGAGGAACAGAAGATACACACTTTTTCTCTTTCCCCCATCTCCTCCCACACATCCATAAAACATGGATGGGAAGATAAACAAACCAACAATAGCTCAAAAGGAACCACAATGTATGACTATTCAGAACATGAACTCTACATACATTAAAGTATCTGAACACCACCACCCTCAAAATGAAATTAGGAATAAAGCCATGTGTTTATACAAACAACAGAAAGAGACACCCCCCAAAATAGAGAAAAGAAGTATTTTCAGCATGCTCAACCTCAAAAAATATGGGATTTTTAAATTTGTTTTAAAGAAATTATCACACTTATAGTGAGTCTTAGTTTGACCAGGATAGTTGTGGCTTCAGGTGGGTTTCCCTTCAGGAAAAAGAAAAAAGGAATTTCACCAGAACAGCAAATTCCCCAGAATTACTTAATTTACTTCTGCCTTTGATCCTGGTGAGCTGGCAGTAGCGCTAAAAGGGATCAGGCCGCAATAACACCACGTGGTGGGGACGCTGTCAGAGAGTGTTCTATACAAAGCATTAAAACTGGGAGTGGAATTAATTTGTGGTGTTCAAACAAACCGGAAGGCATGGCCGTTCAGGGTTTATGAAGTGGATTGGACTTAAATTACTTATAAGTCCAGCTGAAAGAAGGAATTCTCAAATTTAAGAGAGAACTTCAATTAATTGTTATTTCAGAGGATTTCAAATATAAAATTTTATTTCATTTCCAAACACTGCTGTTATACAAATCCAAGTAAGCCATTGTGAAACTATATTCATCTCCCCATATTATAAAGTTATCAAGAAAAAATATGCCTGTGACTCTTTCGTGGCCCTTCGTGCAATTCATGATAAAATCATATTCCTGTGCACAGGAAAAATATGGATAGTCAAAACAGATTTAGTCCTCCCAATTCCTAAATATAGTTCAGTCCATACAATTCTGTTGCACATTCATTAATGAGAGCAGAATTACTTTTTCTGAGGTATTTTTACAGCTGCACTGCTTGCCATTTGCAATATATGACAGTTTCAGTAAACTTGTCAACGCTGCTAACATTGGATGTTCTTGCTTTGACAACAGATGGAAATGTAGCCATCTTTTCTCTTTTGCTTTTAGAGTTAAATGACGCTGGGAGGGGGAATGTGGATGAGAGTCCAGTTAGTCATAACAACAATAACTCAGCCATGGGAATTAAGGTTACTGAGATCAGAGTTGATGAAGATTTGGCGGGCTGGAGAGCTGCGGAGAAAGCCCACACTTCAAGCTAATTGGGGAATGTGATTTATGACTGTTAATTGGAGGAGGGAATTGTGCTTTGATACTTTGTGCCTGGGGGGGAGGAATTCAGTTTTTTATTTTAACTATGTACTGCCGATACCTTGTTTCTTGAATAAAAGATTCTTTAAGGTAAACAATGCCTCAAAGTTCTTTTAAAGAGATTCATCTGTCGGAACCATGACATTAAGCCAAAAACGCCATTTTTTTTCTAACTATCTTGGGGTCCCAAGCCCTAGTCGCTGTCCCTAGAATCAAGGGATAAGCCGACAAAGATTCGGGCAAGATCTCAGCATGGGAGAAAGAAAGAGCGCCTGAAACCAGCATCCCAGTGGCAGCTGCTACCTTAGAGGGGGCAACGACAGCCAACACGCCGGGGGAGAAGGAACTTTTTCAGGCCTCCCAGCTGGGGACA